ATATATAATAAAAATAAATAAAACAAGAAACTATGGTGATGGTTTCACAGGTGACTTAGTGGTGGGAATTTTATCAGGACTATACCTGAAACAAGAAAGCAAACTGTACAAAAATGAACAATGATGTAAAATATTTATTTATTTACTTACCTATTTATATAGAAATAGGGAAAAAATTTTAAAAAGCAGATCCTCCAAAAAAAAGATTTATTCTCGCAGCAGTTTCTAAATACACAACACAGTATCACAGCATAGGCAGCATGCAGTAATTGTATGTTTTAAACATAGTTAGGAAAATTAACTAACAAATTACATCCTGCACCTCTCTTATCAAAAATATATACATTACTTTATGTATACCCGAATGTATACATTATTTACTAGTTTTAAATTAGTTGATTTTAAACCACCCCAGTGTCTGGATATAATATATACATTTATTTAATGTCAATGGTTGCCAAAGCTGGCTGATGGATACATGGGTATACTATTCTCCCTCATGCTGTATAGGTTTGAAAATTTCCATCACTAAAACTTTTTAATGCTTACTTGTGGGGAAAAATCAATAAATAAATAATAAATCGATCTAACTGACCATCCAAGAAAGGTCACCATACGGAATAAAAAACACAAAACCCAAACAAATACTGTGGAAAAGCCTCGGTGTCTGATAATAGAATTAAGAGTAAGAGAAAACCTCCCTAAACATCAAAACAATTATGGAAAAACATTTATTTACTCAAGAAGCTGAAAATAGTTATGCAACCAGCAAACAAAATCTATATACCCCAATACCATATAAGTCTTCAAAAGCCAGTTAGTAATTTTCATAAAAATATTTGGCTTCTTTGCCAACCAAAATTTTGAAAGAGTCTAATTTCATTCTTTTAATAATGAGGAGGCTATGCTGGCAGCAAAATTTATTTTAAGAGAAAATAAAGATAAATAACAATATAGTAATTCTTCCTTCAAGCTTTCTATTCTTGTTATAGTCTGTGTCTGAATCTTCTTCACCATTCATTCAGGCTTTTTTTAGTTGGAAAAGTTCCTGTTATTTATCAACTGTAATACACCAAATGTAATTTGATCCTATTACAGTGACCTCCAGTTAATATTTTCCAGGGCCTAATTTATTAAGCAAACAGCTGGCATTGCCTAGCTAGCTCTTTGTTCACAGAGATAAAAGCAAAGCCAAGGTCCAGAAGTGAACCCCAGAGCTGTGAACACACACACTAGTCTCACCACATTCTCTGGCCCTCTCCAGTCAGCCAGGAAAAGTGATTCATCAAAACACTCCTTCCATTAACGAGGGAAGTTAACATACTACTCTAGAATCCATCAATCAGCTTTCAGCATCATCAAACCAAACTAGGCAAATAAAATGCAAGTTTATACTGCAGACTATTGCCATACCTAATTACACAAATTTGCTTCGTTATTATATTTAATTCACAAAACAACATGGATTCAGCCACGTTTAAAAGTAATCAACTGGAAGAAGTTTGTCCTGATTCAAAGAACACTGATCGGATCAATGTTAGCAATGAAAAAAAATCTCATTTTTTCCTGTAGGATGTTTTTATTATTTAATAAGTGTTCCATGTCTTTTAGCTTTTAAATTAAAATACATACAAATTTTTAACTTTCTGAGTTTTATATTTTGCCATTTCATAAAAGGACTCTTCTTACAATTATGAATGTATATAAAGCTGTACAGGTAGGATTAACAAAAAATAATGTGAACATTTGTTGCTGACACTGGATTGGTTTAAAGTTAATTTGGTGGTAGCGGAAATTTTTTCTAATTGTAATTTTTCTTATAGACTTTTACATAAATCTATATATTTAATTCTGATACTTCAGAGATTTCTTTAATAGTAAGCATAGCTGGGGTTTTAAGGTACCTATGGAAAGTTGTCAAAAATATTAGGAATCAAATGAAATAAACTATATAGGGTAAATATTGAGATACTACAATATTGCAAAGCAGAATAAAAGTATAGTATTCTCCAGAATAAAGTATAATAAGCATAGCTGGGGTTTTAAGGTACCTATGGAAACAGCTGTCAGAAATATTAGGAATCAAATGGGATAAGCTATAAAGGGTAAATACTGAGATATTCCAATATTGCAAACCAGAACAAAAGTATAGTATTCTCCTAGAACACCAGGATTTAATCAATTAAAGTATATTATAGGCTCTTACACTTCTAAAGGTAAGTAACATGTTATGATTTTCCCTCTGTGAAGGAATAAACAAATATATTTCATATATGAATAAGTAATAAAAATTACTACAAAGGATCTTTCCCAGAGCCCAACCACTTGGATCTATCACCTTCCTCAGGAAGTTACTTAAACAATGTGTCCTAGATTCCTTTCATAAAAAGGAGTAAAAACATTACCTAGTTGTCTGAGTATTATTCACATACAATGTTTTGAGAGTGATGTCTTACAGAATCAGCCTTCAGTTAAAACAGCTATATAAGCTATAACTGTTATTATTAGATAAAGAAGTATAATAATTGCACATGATAAGCATTACAGGTAGGTGGCAACTTATGAAAGCACCAAGCTACAAGCTTATAAATCAATGCTTTGGATGTGGGAACACATATTCCTAATGAATCAAAGTTACAAGTTATTGGCATAATACAACTATTTTACTCATAAAGAACCTACAATTCAGTTTCTACTCACTTTGCCTTTCATACCTCAGTTCCTATGGAGAAAATGTTTTTAGTTTCAATCAAGTGTCCTAAGAGTTTCTGGAAGTTTCTAGACCTCTATTTCTAGAACTATAGATATGATTGAAACTGCTAGAAAATACCAGAATTTCAGAACAGATAAACTCCAGTAACTTCAAAAGGAAAATACCATTGTATGATAAGAATATGAGATATGAGAACAATTTCACTGCGAGTTCATTCACTTATGAATTTATAATGTTGCTGATACTAAATTGGTTCAAAATCAACTGATAGTAGCTGAAAAATAAATACTATGTTCTGAGATGCCTACTCATTATCAATAGACAGATGTGGGGTCTTGCCTGCTGTCTAAACTGACTTAGGTCTCACAAAGAGGCGGGTTTTGATTAAAAACATGAAAATGGCTGTTGACCCCTGGGAATATTGCTTCAAAGCTTTTTTGATGTTCCTTCATTCTGAGAAAATGAGAAAGTATAGCCGAGAAAGAACAACAAGTCCTGATATCTGCTCCATGAGTCCACTGTGCCTGTAGAATCCTGAAGTCATTTAAACCCCTGTGAGGCTACCAATGAGATTGACTCTCAACCTGTGAGCACCACTCTCTGCTGATTAAATAGAGAAATGCTGTGCTGTGGTGATTATGGCTGCAATACAGACCTCTCTGAAGCCCCAACCCTGTCAAGGGATGATAAGGTTAACCCCTGAACAAGTAGGGCTTAACTCTGTAAGCAGATCACCCTCGGACC